CATGTGAAATATAATCTTATAATGATATTTGACTATTTTTAACTATCTAACTGCAATTATTATTTGATTGAAAAAATAACAAAGAGTGTGGGTCTCATAGCTTAATTGTTAAGCTTCTATACCCCTACAGTCAAGGTCAATAGTTCAAGTCTGGCTGGTAGCAAAAATCCAAAAGATTTTAGCCTCTGTAACCTATAAGGAGCTAGTAATTGAACATAAAGCCCTGTAGTTAAGTTCAAGTGCAGTATATGACAGAAAAAGGAATTTCTAAAAGGAGACTGACTTTGCAGAGAGCAGGCACTATGGGTGACAGTGGCATTACAGAAGGTTCTGTTACATAAAGTATTGCATATATAAGTCCTCAAAAAATGAGGCAGTACCAACATCTTTACATCCAATTTGGGAAGTAATTGATTAGGAGAGTGATACCAAGGTAATACACACTGGAGTGATGAGAGAAGCAGTGCATGCATAGAAGGTCTGTAACAAAAATTAGTCTTATCAAGATTGAAAGCACCTCTAGCATCATGGAATGACTGAAAATAGAAGATAGTTGTATGTATAGAGAAGTTGTAGCCTATCCTGTATGTCTAAAGGTACCAAACTGGAGCTCTGGTCACACCTATATAGAAGCCTATGACAAAACAAGTGAAACACACTAACATAAATGCCGTACCAATCAAAGTTGAGATACCTAAATTGGAAGTAACCTTTGCAAACAAGCATGGGATATCTGTAGGAATGCAGATTTATACAGGTATCTGTATAGGTCAGTGTACACAGAGGAATGCAAACTGGCTTTGGGTGGTGTAAACACAAGATAAGTTCTCATGTATTAAAGTAGAAAGTAAACAATAGCCAATGGCTAGAAGAAAATAGAAGTACTATTTCCGAAATATAGTTCTACTATACCATAAAAGGGAGTACTTAAGGGGCAGGTTAAATGCACAATCTGTTTGAATAATGCTAAGACCAAGAAGAGTTGCAAACCAGCAGCAGTAGCAGGGACCTGGCTTGAGATACATGCTACCAGTACCTGAATTAAGAAAATAGCAATGGCAGCAGGAATCTGGCTTGAGATATGTGCTAGAGAGGTACCCTTCAAGCAAACCAAAGATGGAAGCTCAAAAGGAGCAAACAACCCAGTGGACCAATTTGGGAGTTGTAAAAAATAGGTTGTGAGACATGAAGGGAATATGCAGGTTACCTAATATAATCAGTAGTGAAACAAAAATTCAGGTCAGATGTAAGTGGGATACAATACAAAGCTCTGGTAGATTTAGGTCACAGATAAAGATGTTTAAGTCCTATGTCTGAATAGATATATAGTAATAGATAATGTATAATAAAAAATTGTACTAGTTATAACCAATATACTAATAAAGACTTGAGGACATGACCTTATCTTAACAAAAAAAAAAATAAAATAAAATAACAGTCTATTTACAAAATATAATAATTGATTATATGAAATTCTATTAAGAATTAGTTATTAATACTTTAAAAGATTATAAAAACTGTAGTAGTTGGGTTGTCATCCTCCAAGTAGCAGGTCTAAGGTTCAAATTCCATCTATAACAAAATTTAGAAATTATATCTGTGTTATGGTAACTGTTTCTGTCGATCAGTTGCCTTATGTGGCTGTTAGCCAAGTATACCAAGTCAGGTCCCTTTGACATTGGGAGCTCAGGCATCATATGCAAACTGTAACATTATATTTACATAAAGGAATGTTTACTGGTATTGTATGAGACTTCAGTGCAAACCCATGATAAGACCATTAGGCATAGAAGACTAAGGAACCAAGGTGACAAAAACCTACTTGGAAATCTCTAAGTAAAAAGGTAACATGAACTTTCAACAGTACCATCAGACTAGTTGAAGCTCATGAAACACCTTCATAGGAACTAAAGATTAAAACTGAATATCAAATATGTGTAAAAAAGCACATAACCAACCAGGCTGCCAAATTCACTGAAGGAAAAGAATATATAAGTATACTATACTGAGCCATCTGGATTGGTAGTCTGAAATAAAACTAATGGTTTTGAGTTGTGGCTAGTAAAGGATGATAGAGAAAATGTCAGAAAGATAGTTGCTGGGGTTCTAGTGAACTTTACAAAGATAGAAATAATGTAACATAGCAGTTAAACAGATAACCTCTGTGACTGCAAGTGTTAGGTAACTATAGTGTGTTGCATAAAACTAGGTCTATATATGTAGAACATAAAGGCTCTAGTAAGATTCCTATCGAGGATAAAGTAGTTCTAAGGGTAATGATAAGCATCAGAAACTTGGATGAGTATAGCCTTGAGATGTTCTTGTGATACAAAAAGGATTGCATATGCAGAGGGTTTAAATAAGAAAGACCTCTAGCCAACTTGCAGATATAGCAACTAGTATAGAACTTATATAGCAATGTGTAAGCAGACTACTTAAATTAGGCACCAAAAGTGCACGTGTGACTAGTTGTAATCTACAATGTAAGGGAGCCCCTGGAGGCATCTGTTTCTTAACAAAACTTGAATAAAATATTATATTCCCAAGATAAGGACTTTAACTATAAAAAAAAAAAAAAAAAAAACTTATAAAAACAAAATAGATGATAAAAAAATCATTGTTAAGATTGATGAATCTAAATTTGAAAGAAGAAAATATCATCATAACAAAGTTATTGATGCTATATTGATTATTGGTACTATTGAAAAAACAGAACAAAAATGATGTTTTCTGATAAAGGCGCAGAAATATAATAAAGAAACAATCAAAGATATCTGAGATAAATATATTGAAAAGAAATCTATTGTTCATATAGATTATTGAAAAGGTTATCTGAATATCAGTAAACTAGGATTCAAATATAAAACTTTTAATCATACAAAAAATTTGTAAATCCAAAACAGATATACATACAAATACTATAAAAGGATTGTGAAATAGAATCAAGTTATAGATTGCATCACAAAATCAAAATAAAGACTTAATTAAATCATACTTATTTGAATTTATTTGGTACAAAGTAAACAAAAACAGATTCTGAAATGCATTTATTGAAACTCTACATTTCACAACATATTACCAATCTAAAAATATTATATTGTGACAATTGCATGCATTAGTATATACTAAACTATAGTTTAGCCAAATAATAATAATAATAATACTGTTTAATATTACTGTTTCAAAATTATTTAATAAAGTTTAGTATTCTGATTTATTATATATACTATACCATACTAATTAAAAAATCTTTTTTTGATTATATTTTTTATATAATATATCTGAGAATTCTATTAATTGTAAATAGTCTTTTTTAAAGTCACAAACTGTATATTATTTCTTTAGTCTAAAATAGAGGTAGGTTTCTTTGTTATACAATATATTTAGATATTTTATAAGTTTAAATCATGGGTCTTCTAATAAGTATAATACATTAACTATAGTTAAGTAATTAAAAAAATTAAATATACAATCTTCCTAACTTATCTACACACTGGCACACATGCTCCAATACACATCATACTCTCTTTAATATCATTTATACATCTGTTAACCAAATACTTTCCAAGAGTGAACTGGACTTATTACTGTTCCAACTTCAAGAACTAGGTTCTAATATATGTCATCATCTATGCTTTGATCACATACTATTTTAATATAATCTATACTTTATAAACATTACACTTAAAAGACTTATACCAAAATTACTTATTGAAGTTATTCACACCTTTAATATATCTTTACAATTAGACTCACAAATAGTAATTCAAATACTTCTACATATTAATAAACAAATCTATAAACTAATTTGGAAACCATACTGCATTGAATTTTCCAATTAGAAAAAACATAATCAAATTCCATCCAGATATCAAAATAATATTAGCAACACTAATATACAACATCAAAATCATAGAGTCTCCAAACAACATTGTCAAGCCTACACATATTCATATCTATATGACATTGCAGATCAACTTCATTTATAACCTAATATATGTCTGCCAATTGAATAAGCAATTAGAAAACTTAACATCTGACCAATTCTCTGAATTAAATACAATATTCCTTCTAACTATATACTAACACTCCAAATCTAGATGGGCCTTGATCACTATAGTCAGTTTAGGTTACAGATAAACTAGTCTGAGCTCTTATTCTTGCATGTAATTTTTATTTTGTTACAAACAACCTTAGTTATTTCAGTACTCTTGTACTAAAATATACAGTTAAAATTATTAATAAAGATATGAGCAAGGCCTCACTTTAACACCAAAAAAAAAAAAAAATAAAAATTTAAACTTTAGAATTTAAAATTAAAACTATTAATGATTTAAGCTAAAAGTAACTATTTTTTTAGTGCACAAATTAAATTAAAAAGAACTTTAAACAAAATGCCTAATCAAAAAATAAGAATAAGTTAATTATAAAAAATAAAATTATATATTGAAACTTAAAATATTAAAATCCATGTTTGTGATTGGCTTATCATCATGGGATATTACTTTAACATTGACCAAAAGGTCACTCACATGATGCTTCAAAATTCTTTAGAGTCCACTTATTTTAGGGTTAGAGTTTGATTTAAAATTAAAAAATAGCTAGCATATGATAAAATTGTCAAAAAAATTTTTAGAGAATGAAAGATGTCTATTAAGCAAATTTTCGAGTTTAAAAGAGATTTTTGAAAACCAACATTTGTTTTGAATTTTCCTGATCATGTTATGTTATTCCAAGATAAGTTGTCATTATATGATTTTACATGATTGATTTACATCGAAAATATTTACTTATTTTTGCATCATTTTACCTATACGTAACATAAAATCTTATTAAGATATCAACACTTCTTTCTTAAGTAAAAAAATGTTTCTGAATCAATTTCGGATTAGTTAGCTAAAAAAAAACAAAATTGTCATTTTCATCTCTTTTAACAACACCTAGTCCATTTGAACTCAGTATAAATATTTTAAACTGTTTCACAAAGATGTAATTCTTTATTAAACATTAATATATTTATAGTCGGATATCATTTCTTCGATGGGTCTCCATAAGATATGACGGAATCCAACAACCATGATGATGAATCCTTCTAGTTTATTAGGACCTGATTTGATTATCTTAATTCGTTCATCGAATACTCCCGAAGTAGAATATCCAACCGCATGACCCTTTGCTATCGTACTCATATATGACCTTAACTGTTCTAATCCATCATTTATTATTTCACGTATGGTTGTCTGTACCGTTTTTCTAAAATTCGTTGACCAATATATGTATCGTCTATTCAGTAAAGACTCTTCATATTCTGTCTTAAAGAACTTATCTAACTTTTCTAACTCGTTAGCACCAAGAACTCCTACTTGATTTTCAACATCTCTCACCAGACCGTTTAACAAATATATTTAAGTTCTAAACATTGTTTCTCTCAATTCCTCCCAGAACAAAAATATTAAGAAAACCAAAACAGCCTGATCCTTTTCGTTCTTGCCATCTATTACAAGACAAAGCTCCGGCACTCTATGCCTTGATGGGAGAAGAATCTCGACAATAGCTTGAAGCACTGCTTCATTGGCTGAAGACAATGACATCCGTGATCTTGCTAATAAGGTGGTCTTGAGAAGTTTGATAAAAGGGATGATATTACCTACAACGAGACTATTATATGCTGTACCACTAAGGACATCATCGGCAACCTATATATATATTCAAAGGTTTAATAAAGACATGAATAGTAAAATGATAGAAAATA